TATTAGAGATCTGTAAGAGGTAGAATCTGTGAACCTCAAAGACCATTTCTTGGATCAAATGCCATCTGAGTGACCCCAGATCATCTGCAATCTTTCAGTAAAGATATTTTTAACCCAATTGACTAACATACCGTCCATTGTTTCTTCTTTTCTGTAACCTACTCTGGCCAGGAGTCTCTCAAATAGGCTTAAAACAATTAATATTTATGATTAAACCTGAGAAAATTATATAATTTGAGACCACATTATACTAAAATCAAATTATGAAGCTGGACTCATGATGCAAGATTTATTGACAGAGAGGACAGACCTAAACCAAGCTTCCATAAGCATCTAAATTTTAGGCATTTTCAATAGTTTGTCACTTTCAATCTCTATCCTTGCTTTATTTTCTTCATGGGCTTATCTTTTTCTGAAACTTTCAACTTTTTTATTCTGTCTTCCTCACCCCCTCAACACGCCTAAAATACAAGCTCCATGAATACAGGAATTTTGTTTATATTGGTTATTGTCATATTCTCAGTGTCTGAAATGGTGCCTGGCACATAACGGACATGCAATAAATATTTGTGGAATTAATGAATAAAGCTATGGCTCACTGAGAAAAATCTCCACATCCAGTCATTTGGATTTGCAGATGAGGTAATTAGGGCCTAGGGAGTTTCAAAGTTATGCTTGAGGTTCCAAGCAGGTTCATGGCTAGGCCCAGATATCCCCTAAGCTCCCTGATTCTGGGCTGAGACCTCTTTCCACTGCTTTATATGATCTCACAAGCCTGTTCAGTCCCAGCACAGCAGAGAGGGTTAAGAACATGGACCTCAAAACCCAAACTTTGATTTAAATCTAAACTCTATCACTTGGGGAGTTGTTGTTTTGCATCTCTGAATTTGTTTTACTTACCTGTAAGTCAGGGAAAAAATAAAACCTACCTAGTAGCATTACTGTGAGCCTTAAATGTGATAATTCAATTGAAGTCCTTTTAGCAGGTAGCCTGGCATAAATAAATTCCCCCTAAATATTAGATATTTCTATTCTTATAGGAGAACCACCCATGGACATCATATCTTTCCTAAGTTCTGGTGAACTGGAATGATTTCCCACTTAACTTTTAAGCTGTCAATGACAGCAGAGTACTAGAAGATATGTTAATGTAATGATGAAAGAAAAAGGATTCCACCAAATGGAAGGGAGACATGCATATGGAAAGAACTAGTCCCTTCCTCAATAAAATCTGATTTTCCTCATCTGCAGAGTGGAGAGCTGAACTCCGTAATATCTAGGACACGTGTCTAGCATCCTATGATTCATATCCTGAAAATAGAATGAGGTTAAAATGGTTCATACTTAATGTGAGTGTGAAGTTGAAGGAAGGTAACCTGGTATATCAACCTTTTCTTTTCTTCCCCCCTAACAATAGTGGATTGTTTTGAAATTCATTTCCTTCTTAATGAACAGTCACCATATGTCAATGACTGCGCTGAGCCCTGTGATGAACCTGAGAATGACTGTCTATGAGACTCTGAAAGGAGGGGTTGTCCCACTTCCCTGCAGAGACAAGGGTGCTTCTGGGCCAAATGCTGTCCAAACCACTGTATTAGTTTCCCTGAACGGTCATAAACTGGGTGTCTTAAATAAAAATTCATCGTCTCACAGTTTGGGAGGCTGGAAGCCCAAGATCAAAGGGGTTAATTCCTTCTGGGTACTTTGAGGAGGAATTTGCTCCTCTTTCCTCTCAGCTTGGTGGCAATCTCTGGCATACCTTGGCTTGTAGATACTTCATCCTGATCTCTGCCTTCATCATCATATGATGTTTCCCCAGTGTGTGTGCTTGTTTCTGTGTCCAAGTTTCCTTTTTCATAAGGATGCCAGTCATACCCAATTAGGATCTGTCCTAATGACCTTAACCATAACTTTCTCATTGGCAAAGACCTGGTTTCTAAATAAGGTCCCATTCACAGGTACTGGGGATTAGGACTTCAACTTCTCATGTGGGGGACACAATTTAAGCCATAACAAGCACCCTTCCAGCCTTAAATAGCAACCCTGAGCCTTTCCTGCAGAGAGTCCAGAATATGTTCTCTTGGCTTTGACTTCCCATGGAATTAGGCTCTCAGCTTCTGAATACTGTGAGCCCATGTACAACCCAAGATTCTATTTGTGTTTCTGGCAGTCACCTCTCATCATGGGCTCATGTTGAGCTTGTGGTCAATTAAAATGTAGGTCTGTATTTCTTTCATACTAGTTGACAAACCAGTTCATCACACCCAGGGCTTTAATAGCTGATTTATGAAATTAAGTACCAAACTTTACAGATTGCTAAATGGTTAATCTTTGAAGGGCTCAAGCTAGTATCATGAGAAATTAAGTTATTAACAACTTTAGGTCCAGAAACAATTTCTTTAGTTGCCATTTTCCCGTGGCCCCAGGACACAGTTAGAGGTCTATTCTGTCCAAGCAATTGGTCCCATTAATCATAAGCCTATAGCTCCTTATGAGCAATATGTCCCAGCACTGGAGACTTACTTGTAAGGTCTCTTCAGACCCAGGTGGAGGTACCCAGACAGGGCTGGAATGAGGGTGGGGTGAATGAGGCATTCACTTAGGGCGCAAGTTAATGCAAACATATCCATGATGAGCAAAATATCCAAATTTTAAATAAAGACCAGAATTAGAGTGAGGTGAGTGAAGTGAATCATGCAAAAGCAAGGTTGGATACTATCTTGATTTAAAATATAAATATTTTGTTCCTTTTAAATGTTCTGTACTAATTTTGATTTTTAAAAAATATTGCATGAAAATATTATCTTAGTGTTCCATTAAAAGGTGCCCTTTAGGTGACTGCCTCATCCAACCCACCCTGGTCCTGACTTTTGGTCCTGGTGTGGATTCTAGTGGGTCAGAGTAGAGTCTGGGATCAGCCTCTTAACTGGAAATCAGGATACCTGGGTCATATCAAGTTCTACTATTAATTTCTTGTGTATCATTGAGCAAGTTACTTCCCCTTGCTGTGTCTCAGTTTTTTCAACTGCTAAATTATGTGTATAGACTATGATTTTTAGGTACAAACTAATCACAAGAATCTGTGATGCTCACTAGAGTTCTGACTGGGGATTGGGAGACTCTTCTCAGTCTGTGCTATTCAACTGACTGTGTAACTTTGGGCATGTCACTTCCCAATCAGACACAGACTTTCTTCTCTCCACTAGCTAGGGTGTAGTTGAAATTATCTGCAAAGCTATTTTGAGCTCTGTAGTTCTCTGATCCTTTTTCTGCTTAAATGTAAACAAGAATATCCAAACACCACAAGGTACCAGCAACTAAGCACCAGCTATAAACAACTGTATTTTATCAAAGGGACTGACTCAAGAACAAAGTTTATTTATTTGGCAAGATATCAAGAAAACTCTACAAGGAAAGAGAATTCAATGTCAAATAGGCAATATCTAAGTACTGTTTAATTTTGAAACACCCTCATTAGAAACTTGAGCTAGTGTGTTTTGCTGTTGAAGAGGAAAATACAGGTCAGGGTACTGTATTTTTCGTTGACATGTTGTCATTTCATGCAGTGATGTAGAGAGGGCCCTCATGGAAGTTCAGTGTGAGTGCTGAGTAACCTTGAGAAAGGCTCATGACTTCTGAGAAATTCTTTTAATCTGTTGAATATGGACAGCAAGACCTGCTCACGGGGTTGCTGCAGAAATCAAGTAGGGTCTGAGTATAGGAGAAAGTGCAGTGTAAGCTAAAGAGTTCACAAAAGTTATGAAATCTCATTCAAAATTGCCATAGAACAATTTGAAAATGTAAATCAAAGATGTTTAAAATGACTCAGTAACTCAACCTCCAGGTATTATGTCTGTGGAACTAATTAAGAATAAAGATAAGATATCGTTGCTGTGTCTTTATTGCAGCACCTTTATAATGAAACAAACTAGCAAAAATGAGCTTTCTGAACTAATAATAGAGGATTGATTGAGCATTGGTTGTAATAGCTCCATTTGATGGAATGTGTTGAAAATGACTTCACGGAAGCCCATTCATTGCCCTGCATAGATACTCAGAACATATCATTGAGTGAAAATTACAAAGTAGTGTATATAGTCTAAGCACATTTTTGTAAAAATAGGTATGGGTTATTTCTGGGTGGTGATATGATAAGTTTTATTTTTTTTCCCCTTTTTTGGATTTTAGCTACATTTTCTGATTTTTCTACAATGAATATATATGACATAACTTTTTAAAGGCTATCCTAAAAACAGATATGTTTATGAGATTGTTCTTTTGAAAATAGTATTGATCACATGTTAAAACAATTTAATAAATATCAGAAATATTTTATAATTTTTTAAGGAAATGATAATAGCGTGAGATCTTGATCTAGATTATTTTCATTTTGCCCAGATTTTCCTGCTCTATATTTTTTTTCTGAGTCCTCTGCATATACTCATTCACTCATTCATTCATCTTGCCAACATGTGTTGAACACTTATAATGGTCTGGAGAGTGGTCTGGGCTAAATACTACAATTAGTGTTGCATACACTTAAGGTTGCATAATGATTGATTGGCCTTTTTGTTCTATTATTTCTCAATTTCCCCACCAGAAACTTCAGTCATCTCCAGAGCTCCTAGCCTTGGAGTCATCATTCATTCATTCTACACCCACTGTGTCACAGCTGCGGCTGCTGATCACCTCTAGCTCCCTCACAGCCTCTCCTGCCAAATGCCACTCCCATCCATTTAGTCCTTCTTCACTTTCACAACCATGTCTTGATGCAAGCACTGTGCATTTCTTTTTCCAGTTATCTAATCTAGCAACCTCCAAGATTTTTGTGATCAGACATACATCCTTATACATAATATTTTTGAACATTCAAACCCAATGCATGTATTTATAAATCATATGTGCTACTTTCAATCCATGTATTAAGTATTAGAATATTAACTTCTTTTATGGATTTTTGAAACAGTATAAAACCGACATGATATTTTTTCTTCCCACAGTCCAGTGGATCATCTTGCAAACTCTCTGGAATATTTGGAGACCTTTGCTCTACCTATAGTTCTAAACAGGACACCAAAAGTGGCATTCTCATGTTTTTATTTGTTATGAGCTCTGGTAAGTTTCCATAGCCTTACATTAACCCAAAATGCCCAACCCCTGGATTCAAGATCTATTACTTATTGCTGCTGCTGCTGCTAAGTTGCTTCAGTCGTGTCCGACTCTGTGCGACCCCATAGACAACAGCCCACCAGGCTCCCCCATCCCTGGGATTCTCCAGGCAAGAACACTGGAGTGGGTTGCCATTTCCTTCTCCAATGCATGAAAGTGAAAAGTGAAAGTGAAGTCGCTCAGTCGTGTCCGACTCTTAGTGACCGCATGGACTGCAGCCTACAAGGCTCCTCCATCCATGGGATTTGCTAGGCAAGAGTACTGGAGTGGGTTGCCATTGTCTTCTCCGTATTACTCATTACATCCCTCCAAATAGGTCTTAGCTGGTTTTAAGTTGAAGTTGTTACCCTTGGGTTTTCCAATGCATGTTTTATGTGAAGAGTCCTGAGGTTGACTTAGGTCAGAGAACCCTGCCAACTTTGGGTTTGTTAGAGTTCTCATGCAAATGAGCTCCCCTAAGATTCTAAGAAAGCTCTAGTGAAAAGGGAAATGGAGCATTTCTCAGGCTGACCCTGCTATTTACTGCGTAACATTTATTCACACACCTTGAAACTACTGTTAGCATAAGATTCTTTGGGAAATACTAAGTTACACTGCTTACTGGCTTCTACCTACCTCACCACATGTATTTGCCACCACAAAAAGTGGCTTCCTCCTTCCTGTGTCTTTTCTGCACTGGGATCCATGATCTGACATCTTCTCAGATGGACCATGACAAGTGCAAAACTTTATTATTATTTTAGAGATCACCTGGTCTTTCACGGACAGCTTTGTCCATGAAACAATCAGTAACAATCAGTTATACAGTAGTCTTTTAAAAAATAAATTTATTTATTTATGGCTGCACTGGGTCTTTGTTGTTGCACATGGGCTTTCTCTTAATTGTGGTGATCAGGGGCTATTCTCTAGTTGCAGTGCATGAGTTTCTCATTGCCAAGGCTTCTCTAGTTGAAAAGCATAGGTTCTAGGGCAAGTGGGCTCAGTAGTTGTGGTATATGAGTCAAGTTGCCCCATGGCACGTGGTATCTTCCTGGACCAGGGATTGAACCCATGTCCCCTGAATTGGCAGGAGATTCATAACCACCAGACCACCAGGGAAGTCCAAGTAGTCTTTTTAGAGTGTAGATTTCATGGTCTTCCTCTGCTCAGAACCCTTCAATGGCATTCCAAACCATGCAGAGGAGAACAGAGCCTCCCTGGAGCCCAGTGATCGGCTCCATCTGCTTCTCCAACCTGATTTTCATCCCCTTCTTACATCTTTCCAGTCACACTGGCTTTCCCTCAAGGATGCCAGTTTACTCTTGTTTGGGGGGTCCTTGCACTTGCTCTCCCCTCCACCTGAGATGCTCACATCCCCCACATGGCTCACTCCCTCTCTTTGCCCAGGATTCTCTCAAGATCATCTTCACAGTGAAGTCATCCTAGACCTATGGACCTCAAGCCTTAGTCCCTCCGTTGGCTACTTTCTGGCTCCATAAACTGCTGCTTTTTCTCTACAGTTTTGCCACTACCTCTGTTGTACCATACAATCATTATTTATTTCTTGTCTTCCTCTCCCACAAGAATGTAAGACCCAAAATGGAAGGGACTTTGCTTCCCTTCTTCATCACTCTATCCCCAGAGCCTGGAAGAATGGCTGGCACATAGTAGGAATTCAAGAAATATTTTTGGGATAAGTGAGTAAATAAAAATGCTTAGTCAACGTTCAAATGGTCATTTGCATGGTTTAGTGAAATGACTGGTTCTCTATGTTTCTCTCCTGCACAGCTGATTGTTTTAATAGATAGGACTGCCTGAGTATTTTTATTTTTTCACTCAGCTCAGTAACCCAACTGCTAGACTATACATTTGGGAAGAAAGGAAAAGTACTTTGGTACAAGTACAGGACATTAAAAATAGAAGGCACCATAAACTTGATTCCTCCTAGTTCTGATTAGCACAACTCACTAAAACTTTGAGATACTTAACTTTCTTTAGAGTATTTCAGTTTGATAGTAATGAAAGCTTTATTATGTTTACTATTATTATTTTTAAAGGTGAAATGCAATTTTAACCTTCAGCATGCCAACTTTGTTCCTTATGAAGAATCTATAGTCTCCATGGCTCCTAAATATACCTGTAGGTATTCTTTACTGTTGTTTGTATTGAATTTTAGGCATTTTCTGGTTTGCAGGCAGTGGGACAAAGGTACTGAGGCTAGAAAACCTTAGACTACATAGTCACCTGACTTCCTGAAGCATCCTAAAGTCATTTTTAAGATTCTGTAGATCTTAAGTGAGTCTTGGGGGGGAAATGGAGATGAGAGGCCTTGATAAACACTGAGTTGAATTAATTGGTAAATCGAAATGTGCCCAGCCATAATACTCATTTCTGCTGTGATAGTGGACCACGTTTACAAAATGGATATAATGGGTATATACTTGCTGCATATGGCTATTATGAAGATTAAATGAACAATGCATATAAGATGTTGGGCACATAAATACTATTCTTTCATTTTATTTTATTTTTCCTGCACTTATTCCATTGCCTAGCACATAATAAGGATGTAGAAAATGTTAGCTATTATTCAGATGCTTCCTTTTTCCTAAAGCATGCAGATAGATCCTTTAGCAATCAATCAGTGCATATTTGCAGAAATATTTCCTGTGTTTGGCACTCTATAAGGCATTGTATGTAGACATATGAGATATGTACTTGAGATGATTTTAAGTCAGTGAAAAAGCATAAATGTATAATCGTATCATTTGAAAACTGGGAAGACTTGAACATGGACTCTAAATGATGAGACACCTGGACAAGTCTTGCTCTGAAGGATAAATACTACCTGCCATACAGGGAGAGGAGAGGGTTCTCCAAGGATGGAGAATATGGAGAGAAAAGGGGCAAGATCAAAAAGGGAGAGATGTGGTGATGAAAGAAGGGAGATTGATAGCCAGGATGATTGTGAGATGTGCAAGGAGAGAAAAGCCAGGGAGACAACATGGGAAGAATCATGGGGACTTGGTGACCATGAATGCGTAAAGCAGAGGCAAAGGACAAAGATGGATTGTCAGGTGTTCAGCCTGGGCTACCAACAGGGGTCGTGGTGTCTGTACCAGAGATGAGGGTTCAAAAGGAGGAGTGAGTGTGAGTAGGAGAGGAAGTAAATGATGCTGAGAAGAAGGAGAGTAGATCTGGGACTAGGTTCCTGCAGAAAGGTGGAAAGGATTGAAGAAATGGATGGTTTGGCTTGAGAGAAGAAAAAGAGAGAGAAAAATGCTTCCCCAGAGACTGAAAGAAGAATGGGAGAAGAGTAATACCAATGATTGAGTTAGATATGCATAAAAGCACATTGATACTAGTTATCAGATTATATGCCCTTGTCAAGTATTATCTCCTTTAATGTTCATACTGGTTCTTTGAGGTTTACATAAAGACCAAGTAATAAAGTTTGCTTGCCCAGGGTCACACAACACCCAAGAGCAGAGTCTAGATTTTGGTTCAGGATCAGAGTCTGGAACCCATTCCCCATACCTTTTGCTGCAGGCTGTCCAAGGACAGGGAGGGCTGTGATGCATGCAGGCGTGCGGCTGGAGTTAACTGAGGAATAAGTCATAGGATGAGAGAAGAACTGGGAAGTGGAGTTGGGGGTAAAGGAGAAGCAGAGTACTGCAGGGTGAGTTGAGGCTTTTAGGAGAGAGGTACAAAAAAAGCATTGTGGGAAAATATATGGGGTAGAAAAATAGAAAAAGTGCTAACTCAGAGCAGCACTGGGGAGTCTCCACACCAGGGCAGAGAAAGACATTTGAGATGAAGCCTGGAGACACACAGGAAGGCTTTTATCCTCTTCTCTAGGGCAGTCTTTTTAGACTTTGGGGAAGGGGTTTCCAGCTCTCTCTTGTAGACTGAGCATTGCTCTTTCCTGAGTAGGGAACTCTGAGATCTGGATCTGCTTAGGGTTCAGTAAGGTTGTGACTCCATGAAAGCAGGGTCCTCAGTGGATCTGAGAGGCAGAGCAGATTGAGGTTCAAACTCAGCTCCTCCCCTTACTGGCTGTGGAGCCAGGGGCCAGGAATCCTCATGCCTCAGTTTCTATGACAACCAGCACCCACTTCAGAAGAGCATTGTTAGAATTAAGTGAAGTTTCTAACGTAGGGCTGCTGCAATTTCCCTAACATATACATTAGCATCCTGAAAACTATAAATAACTATACAAAATAAAGGGAAAGAATTCAAACTATGGCTGCTGGTTGTTGGTTTAAACAGAATTATGTTCCAAAAACTTGATATAGGCCATAGAACTTTAGGTATTATGTAGATATTGTCTATTACTATTATTACTTGCTATAAACCAAGAATCATTTCATATTAATACTAGACCTAGCTCATTGGGTTAGCTTTTGGCTTGTCCTTTTCCCATCTCTGTCATTCTCTTATTCACTTTTCACTGAATGACACTTAGCAATTTATACAAAGTGCTTTTCTGCTTACATTATCTTATTTCATTTTTAAAGGAAACCCATCAAGTAAATGAGTTTATTACTCCTGTGTTATAGATGAGGAAGACTTCAACCACATAAAAGAGGTAATTTGTTCAAGGTCACATGGATTTTCTATGTCAAAAATGTTTTTAATGTGAAAAGTACTCTGCTAACAACAATCAAAGAACTGCTGTGTTCATAAAATAAGAGAGGTGATTATGCCTTGATCATGTGAAAAGTGCTATAGTAGGGTGTGGGGTTTGGGAAGCAAGGGTGGAGGACAGAGGAAACCAGGATGACTTGTCTTGGAATCCTGGCTCTACCTACTCGGGCAACTCACCTAACCTCTTCAAAACTCCATTTCCAATTACTTACAATCTCTGCCCCTTAGCTTCTGAAAACATAGAAGAATCATTTTTTTTTTTTAATTTTTATTAGTTGGAGGCTAATCACTTCACATTATTACAGTAGTTTTTGT